GAGTGCCTGCTGTAGTTTTGCTTCCATTAAAAAAAAATCAAGGTGCTTTTCCTATCCCGAACAAAAGCTTCTTTAACAAAGTAATGGGAGTCAGCCTGAAGTGGTGACAACAAAGTGATTTTTCAAGGGGCTTGCAGACCATCTATAAAATATGTCACACTTTTAAACTTCCTCATCACAGTTTGCCCTCATTCTAACCCATGTGCCATTCTGCCCTTGTCACAAGATGATTTATGGATGATCCCTAATGTGAAACCACCTGCAATGAGGCATCTTCAAATAGACTGTACCTTTATTCTAACCAGATGGAAGGAATTTGAGTGTGGGTTTATTATTGTTGTTATCAATAATTTCAGTTTGCAACCTTTCACAAAATTATTTTCCATCTTATTTATTTATTAATACGTCATCTTCCTCCAAAAAGTTTAAGGCTGCCCCCATTTTGTAATCATAGCAAAGGTGACTGAAAAAGGTCATCTTCACATCTAAGTCCATCTCTGATGTTCTGATCTAATCTTCATCCATCTGGTGCTATTCAGAAATGTTGGGGTTTTAACTCCTTCAATGCTGCCTGGAAGATTTGGGGAGCTCAAATCCAGCACATTTCAACAGTATCAGGCTACATCACATCACAACATTTCAGATTAAAGTTTCTCTCTCTTGCACACAAAGTTTTATAGTTGTTTCTCCCAGTATTTAGATGTATGATACATCTAAAAACAGGGTTTGGCCCTATCTAATCAGGTGAGATGAACTAATTCATTTGAGATATACAGTAATTCAAAAAGAGAAAATGGGCAGGGATGTAAATTATTCTAGCTGAGCACCATTTGGGGTGTTTTTTCCACAGACAACAAGATGTCTAATGTCATCGCAACTATGTTCGGTCCTGGGGAACCTCAACCAACCTTTCCCACACTGGTACTTCCCAGTTATGTTTGGACTACAACTCCCATCATGCTTACCCAGCACAGACCATGTTGGCTAGGAGTAATAGGAGGATAAAAGTCTTACAGGATTCATCTGGAGAAAGCACTAGGCTGGCTTGACCACTACAGTTCTTGTTTTTGTTTTTGTTTATAATAATTTTATTAACAGTTTTAGATACAACAGTAAAACATAATACAAACTAAAGAAGAAAAAAGAAAAAAAAGATGCAAAAAAGCAAAGGAAAAAAACCCCTAAGAAAGCAATTTCCCACCCTCGTCACAAGTATAAACAATTTCATAATCTTTTCACCTCCTCTTAAGAGCGCTACAGTTTTGAAAACTTTTGAGGACTAACATAAAATTAAGAGATCAGCAGTCAGCAGATATAATAGCAGCAGACGCCATGGTGGCACATGTTACCGTTTCAGACATTTTCAGGATCCCCAGATTGAATAAAAGTTGATAAAATAACCCTCATGAGATTACCAAGTTGCACAAGATTTCAAACAAGAGTGCCAATCCTGATTTATATGCATGTACACACATATTCAGTAGCTCTAGCAAAGGTATATTTTAAATGACTCATAAGTTTTCAGCCTCTGGATGTTACCTTGTAGGTCTTGAGGAATTTGTTTACTGATTACGTTCACTTTTAAGCGATTGCATAAGTAATAGCCTAGAAGCCTGCATGTACCTGAACAAACTGAATTTTTATTTTGTTAACTTCAATTTCCAATAGCATACAAATATGTAAGTTTCATCTCATAGCTTGCCTTAAAAAATTAAAATATAATTTTGTCCCTTCTTTCTCATAAGTTGTTATTTAAAGCAAGAAATCATTCATCATCGTCTCCCACTTGATCCAAATCTGAAAGCTATGGTTTCAGAGCAAGCTGGAGTGTTAAATCAACTTCAGAGGATAAAGTTGCTTGATTTTGTCTGAGTCTTGACACCCTGGTGACCATGTTTAGAACGAGCTAGGCTATTAAATCAATTTCATGCCATGGTTTCATGTTTTGGCTTCTTTCAAAACTAACAACCTGTTTGAATTTAATAGGAAACAGTAATTAATTAAAAGCTTCCAGATTTAGCAGTGACTTGCGCAAAAGAAAGAGCAAAAGGTTGGCATCCACAGGCCAGATGACATAAGCAACCCCATCACCTCAGTATTTCTGTAGGGCTACCATATCTGGACTGCAAAACTGCAGATGGCAACTAGAGGGCAACAAGGAGTTAAATTCCTGAACCTCATTACTGCCATCTGGTGGTTGTCTTGATTTTTATTCCAAAATATGGAGGTGCTAATTTATGACTAGGGCCACTATCATGAATTCCAGAGAATTCAGGAGAACATGCTCTATCCATCCCTTCACTTTCTTATTCTCTGTCAGAAGACAGTAGCCCTCAACTCCAATATTGTCTGCTTTAACTCAATGGCTGGATTCACACAATATGTTTAACCTGCTCAGAGAAAGACCCAGCAGATGCTGTTGCCCGACATACTAAGCTTGGTTAATGTTAAGCCTGGCTAGTTTTTAGTGGCTTAGCATGTTTTGTGAGCACTGCCAACAGGTGCCCCTTTTCTTCCAGATTGTCATAGTATCCTACGTAGGGCAAATCCAGACAACCAAATGACTGCTCCAACAACTATTTCCTTCTTCATACATAGGATACAGTTATTTTATGGACCACATTAACCCAAGGTGTAGTGACATCTTTGTTCTGATCTTCACATACAGCAGGAAAAGACGGTAGCATTTTGAAGTGACAGTGGATTATATCACATTAGACTTACAGGTGGAGGAACTATTATTCTTTATTGTTCTGTGTAAAAGTAATTCTTGCAAGTAAAAAGATAAAAGACCTTTTTGCCGTACTTGCTTTATTTAAGCTGACTACGCCCTCACGTTTCTCCAGCCAGCACTGAAGTATCTGTTGGTCTGGATGATTTTTGTGGATGGAATGGGAGAAAGAACCATTTTATTCTTTGCATCTGGCAGGAAAACACCATGAACTGGCTTTGCAGGTATCCAAGCATGTTAGTGCATTCACTACTGAGGAGTTCCATCATTTCATTTCTACTTATTATTCTACATAATTAGAAGAGATATAGATTGATTAAAGCTACCATATATGGGCTGCCCAAATCTAGATGACCACGTGATGGCAACAAAAAGATTCAGAACCTCTAACCCTTTGCTGACACCTAGAGTTTGTCAGGATGTTGGCTGCCTGTTCACCCTAAGATTCTTTGAGAAGAGTACTAATGAAGTTGAAAACCATGGAAGATAAGTGGGATCTCTTGACTGCCAGATACTTCAGTTAGTAGCAGGACCTTGTTGGCCTTGTCTGATTAGTATTTGGATCAAGGCTCTTAGCTAGACTGGGAGGTTGAAAAACATCCAATAAGGTTAAGACAATGACAAATTCCCTCTATACTGTTGCATAGAAAACTTCATGAATATGAGTTTGAAATCACCAGAGGTTAATTGGAGGAGGCCTTATTTTTACCCTTTATTTCTAAATGCCAGGAATAAAAGTAGTAAGGTGAAGAAACAAACTTCCAGAATCTTGGATTATAAACTATACTTAGAGGCCCAAGTAGGTCTGCTATTCAGACAGCTGTCAGAAGACAGTCCATTATTCCTCTTCTGGAAGGGCTATTTTATCCAAACTCAGTTTAAACATAACAAAGCCTAAGACAGGAGGATGGGGTCATTTAAGAAGCCCATCAGGAGAAGAGCATCTGGGCAGTCAACTGGACAGGCACTCAAGTCAGACATGGTCCCAGCCTTCCGGTCTATGGTGAGATGTCTTGTATTTCTACTTCCATCATAGCAAATATCACTTCCATATTTTGCCAAGAAAACAATCTGGCTATGTCCATGTAGTCAGCAAATGCTGTGCTTGACTTGAGGGGGACTTTCCCTTAATTATTTCTAAATGTACATTATATATATAAATCAGCCCAGGCAAATCTCATGTAAGTTGGGCATCTTTCTCCTCCATCTCTCTCTGATTCATTTCCTCTTCTTTTCACAAAGGATATACAACCACCTCCCTATTCTTGGAACGATTCTTGGAATGTCCTCACCAACCATTTCTGTGTTGGCGATTTCTAGAGGATGGTTTTGGTTTTGGTTTTACCCCCATGAGGTACTTCTGTCCAATCTTTTCTCACTTTGGGGGAAGCAGAATTTTCTCAGCATTCTTTCTTTGGGCTCTGTCTGAGCACTGGTGGTACAACTCTTTCCTTTTTTCTTTTATGACAACAAAGCCAGCTGCCTCTTTTCAGCACCTCACATCAAACAGTGGGCCGAGCAGTGCAGATCTGAGACCTGTCTCTCCCTGGCTTTTGTTACCATGAATAGACAGCCTTGTCTGCCTCAAAGAGGGACAGAGACAACAGCAATTAACAAAAATGGCTGTCTCCAGTTACCCAGGAAAATATTAAAGGGAGACATATTCCTTGCCTCCCCTTCATTTTTCAGAAGAAGTGGTTTAATTCCAGATGGAAACAAAAGCTGATAAAAAGGGGGGTTAAAAGCCTTTGGAGAGGACATACCTGATGCTTTCTTTTGAAGCAACAAAATATGAACAAAACAAAAAAAAACCTAGACATGGCACACAAAAGCATTTTGTGTGAAAAGAGCAGCCTGACAGCCAAAAGCAAGTTGGAGATTGCTTTTCATAGGTTTTCTTCTCAGTTATAATGAGATAGAGTCATAGAGAAGAAGGAGAGTTGGA